GTTAGTTATTTTNTTTTTTTTTTTGATATGAATAATTCCTTAATTTATTGATTCATTAAATTATAAGAATTTAAAAAATATTACTATAAAAATATATTTTATTTTATTACATTTTAGTATATATTTTTTAATTTTATTGTATTTATTTTATTATATAAATAAATTTGGTTTATTTATTTTTTCTAAATTTCCATTATAAACATTACAAAAACCTCGCATAAATATTAAAATTATTATTACGAAATTATACAAAATTAAATATTGTAAAATTTTTATAACTTAGATATTAAGTTAAAAGATTAAGTATAGTTATGATTGAAATTTTTGCTTGCCTTTTTTTTCCACTTTTTTTTTAGAAGTCGGAAAATTTTAAACATTTTACAAATAACTTATAGTATCGAAATATATATATGTAATGAATGTTTACGGTAAGTATATAATTACTTAAGTATCTTTTTTTTTCTTCATATATTAATTTTTATTTGAAAACAAAACAAATTTTATAATTTTTCAGTTTTATTTCAATCCCAAAAAATTTTTATTGAAACCAATTTGCATGTTGTTTATTCATTTGTCCAATTTATACGATCGTAAATGCAATTGAGAAGATGGAGAATCTTTAAATTTGCATAAATAAGAATGTGACAGGAATAATTGTGACAGTAAGCCACCGTTCGACGGAAACGAACAAAAACCACCCGTTATATCAATCCATTTATGGGTTAAAACAGAATAAAATGTATTTTTAGGATGGTAATACTATTGAAATTTGAAGGTCTCATGACAACTTCGAACAGTAAACATTCGGTCATTTCAACCAAGACAGTAATTCATCAATGTCCAGAAATATACAAGGACACACACACACACACACACACACACACACACACACACACGCACACAGACAGATATGTAGATACACACATACACATACATATACACACATACATACATTCGTTATACTGAAAGAATGAAATTTAATAAAATTATATTCATGCTTATTTAAATTACATAAATTGAATAATTCGTATGTCCATTACATTATGCTATAAACATATACTAATATAATAATAAAGACAAAATATTGTAATTAAATTGAATGAATTCAAAGTCGTATATGATTACTATGACAACAAAGCTTATCATATATATTGAGATTAACTCAGTCGTATATGATTGCTATGACAATAAAACTTATCATATATATTGAGATTAACTCAGTTGTATGTGATTGCTATGACAATAAAGACTTATTCATATATATTGAGATTAACT